TGATCCACTATGCCTCACAATGATGGAATCCGTTACTTGTTATCCGTGCTGTACACTCAGTAGTATACTTAGTTAAATTAAAACAATACAATTGATCCCATAAAAACAAATAACAAGGCACTATTTACAAGTAGGTAGCGAATTATTTTATATTTTGTTCATTTTATCAATTACCGAGTTCAGACTTTTGTGGGCTTAGCAATTTGTGGGAAGCTGGTGACCTAACTGGCTTCCTGAAAGAACTTTTCAGAAAGTGGCCGGAAAACCACAATCAACTTGGAACTGTTATATCGTATAAAAATGTAAAACCGCGGGTACTTTTTACAGGTCATCGTTATGGAATAAGTATATCAGTATGGTATATGAGGATGTTTATGATAGAGAATTGATGGTAAAAGAGAAGAGAAGTGGGGCTGAAAACACACGATAAAATTAAGTGAAACAAGCTTCCTTTGGGTATACGTGGTATCACAATAGCGTTCAGTACATTGTTTTTTAAAACCGTTGAAATTACATACACACATAATTGCATAGCCTGTTTCATTGATTGATAGCAAATCAATATGTCGGCAAATATACAGCAAGCTCCGTTAAGTAATAAGGCTTAATACGTTTTCAAATTAAATTTCGTCATTTGATTAAACGGAAAAAAATCGATCATCGCAACTATAATAACAAATAAGATATCAAAAGTGCTCACTTCATTTGAAACTCTTTGTATGTATGAAACGTTTTATCTTTTTGAATATTGATGTACAAGATGTGCACTGCGTCCATGCAGTAAAGCTAAGCGTAGTTTCAATTTTTGGCATTGAAACCTTATTTTAACGCATTGTGAGCAATTAACTGATAATAATTATGTTATTTTCAGTTTGAAATGCCTGAAACGTCAACACCATCCACGTCTGATGGGTCCCTTGCCCTCTCTAGACGTCCATTTCCCTTGTCATCTTCTAGCGGATCTGGCCGACCTTCATCGGCATCCAGATACGATAGAAATGGACAAATGTCTTATCATCACCAAGTAAGTTGTTGATTCTTTCAAAATATCATTGTGTCATCATTTGATGTCATTCTACGTCTAGGTTCCTTTGGCTCCTACCATGGGCCATCACAGAGAAACGTCCGCTTTTGTACCAGTGGTTCCTTCTAGGAATATGCAGCATCCTCTTCTATATGGTGGAGAGATGCATCCGCTTATTGGGCTGGAAAACAGCGACGGCGGCAAAGGGGCAGAAGGTATTTGTGGCTTCTTTTGTCAGTAACTGGAATACTTTGATGGTTTTCTTAATGCATGCAGGTTCATCCGGGCTACGTAAATCTTCTTCCTCCTTTGACCTGATGGCCATGATGGCCGATAAGCGCAAAGAGCTACATTTGCGAGAAGAAGCAGCATGCGTGGCTGCAGCTCACGCCGCCGCCATGATGCTGCCTCATAGGTCTGGGCATCATGCTAGTTTAATGGACACCTCTAATGGACAGCAAACTCATGGTTACTCAGGCTTTCTGCCAGCCAGTCCTGCCAATGCAGGTTCTTTTGCGTTCCCAGGAGGCAGTACGATGTTTCCACCAGGTACTAAAGTCGCTTTTGATATGGTAGCAGAACATAAAGATTGAAATTCTTACCAAGGACCTCCTCAAATTCACGCTCACTTGGATAGAAGATTACTGCGAGCTCCAGGCCGCGCTTCTAGACCGAAGAAGCAATTTATATGCAAGTTTTGCAATAGACAATTTACCAAGAGCTACAACTTGTTGATCCACGAAAGGACTCACACAGATGAGCGGCCTTATAGCTGTGATATTTGCGGAAAAGCTTTCAGAAGACAAGATCACTTAAGAGACCATCGGTAAGTTCTCTAGTTTTTTGATTGCATGCAGTAGCTGATAAAGTGTTAAGAAGCGCATATTTTAATAAAATTATTGCGTTCAAAGTATAACTAGCCTACTAAATGCAATGGCATTTAAATTATCACATCGACGGATCAGAGCTCTTCATAAAGAAATAGCTTAAATTTAAATCCCGGCTTAATTTGAGAATAAATGGTTTCTAACCAGTTTTTCTTGACAATCGTCTTGATCCCATTATAAATTATATTATTAAATTCTTCAATATAAAAGTGCCGTCCCTATTTATCAACGGATTAAAGCATTCCATTGCCCTCGTATGTGAATATCCAATGATGACGGCTAAAGGTAAAAGATTTTAATTTATGGTTAAATAGGTTTTTGTTTACCTGGCTTGGTGTGGACGGTTATTTTGCAAATTAACTTGACTGTTTTAGCCCGCGTTATATTATCAAAGAGTAATTTTTTATTTCACTTCATTTTAAAATTATGAAAAATTGGGAAGGTGTGAATCCTAAAAGTATTTTGTACAGTAATCGTCCAAAGTGAGTTCATAAACCGGTATGTGTCTACATCTAATCTACATCAACAATAAGATAAACGATGAGAATTTTAACTTTGAAATATATTTTAAATATTTCCAATAAAAATTGCTTGCAGCCGATGGCAAGAGACGATGATAGCATTTACAGGTGCAACACATTGTTTCTTCGATTTTGTTTAACAAGAAAGTCCATATGGATCAACCACTTAAGAAACGTTAATTTTCTAAGAAAAAGTAGAAATGTTGTTCAAGGTTGTATGGGAGTTGTGACTTCAAACTTCGATAAAACGATTCATTAGTTTTTTTCATCTTTCTTAAATTTATATATTCTTTACCTGCTCCAGGAGCCCGTTTATTGCTCTTGAATTTTAATTTCACTATTTATTCTCAATTATTTTTTTCAAATATGTTTCTATTGTCTTCTAAATTTTTTCTTACAATGAAGAGTTTTTTAGCGTCCGAAAATTCTAAATGAAAGGGATTTTTCGCGGCTTTAGCGAACAAATAATTTTTGGAATAAGAAAAATTTACTACTTTCGACAGGACTTGAAACTGCGACCTTCATGACTCCGGCATAATTATTTCTATTACCTATTTATATTATTCATATTATTTCTTACTTTCATTCGATGGATTTTTTCAATTCAATAATGATGAATCGTTAATTCTTGCACAGTACATACTTAAAATTTCGATTGATTGGACTTTTATCACTATTTTAAACGTATCTACTATCTTAATTTTTGTCATTCGTTTTGTTTTATTTTATGTTATTATAAACTTTCAGAATGGTATGATATGATGATTGAGAGGTCATGTGTGTGTAAAGAATATCAAGAAAGTACGTAAAATACGATTCATTTTAATTTATTATTTGGTGACCGATAAACTCTAATTCGTTCAACGAATAATTTGTGAATCCTTTTTTTTTAAAGTTCAGTTTACACATTTTTCTCCTGAAGTTTTTATATATCAGCGCACGTTCAATATGGGCAAGCTATTTAAACATAATGTTGATAAGTTTTTCGAAAAAAGAGCGAAAACCTTATGAGAACTAAGAACGAAAGCTCCCAGGAGCGATTGAATTGGAATAAAACTTTTAGTTCAGCATTAATTGACCAATATTTTGATACATTTGTTATCATTTGTTTTTAGTTATCACGGGTTTTTAGCAGCGTGTTTTCATTTCTGTGATTGATTCTTTCTTGAGTTCTTTCATCAAGCTGTTTATTATCTTTCTGTTTAATTACATTTTGAAACCAATTTTAACATTTCTGTCTGTTGCGCTTTACATACTCCTGGCGCCTTCATTTCATTTTGTTTTTCGGAAATAGTTTTGCATATATCTGCAATTTTCTGTGATTTTCTGTGATTTAACACTTTGGATTATTTTTATATTCAAATAATTGTTTTCTGTTGCAAACATTCAATATGTTACAAATAACGCTTTGGAACTGACTATTTTAATGCAGAGACCGAATCTTCTATTGAACAGTTCTGATATTTAAGTGTAGGCTCAGCTTTCCGTCTGATCTGTTGCCTCAATTTATCTTTAGCATTCACGATGTTTTTTTTTATGCAAAATGATTGTGATTGAATTAATTGATTATTAAATTCCATTTTGCAATTATAGATTTCCAAGTCAAACACTTGTAGCCTCAGTAAGAGCTCGCCAAAGTAACTCAGTAAGACTTGAAATTGAGTGAATCTTTAAGCTTTATTAGATTATTTGAGTAGGATTTGAATGTCTTGTGCCTTACATACCTACTGCATGCATATATATTTCTGGGCAGATGTAGCTGAGCAAGAACAACTCTATAATTTGAAAAAATCTCCAGCAAGATAGATGGTCCTTCTTATGAATTTTTTGTTAATAATTTTCTACAAATTTACATGCGATCTTCTGGCCCCTATAATTACGATTTTAAAAGCAATCGTGTTTGGGTTTTTGTGAGGGTCAATTAGGCATCCTCATGTGGAGGTCGTCGATGTTTTTTACCATGCCAGCTAGCAGAATATCGTGGGAAACGGGTACAAACGGAAACAAAAAAGTACAATTTTCGCCTTTGGACTGTTTGAATCAAACCAGCAATGACCTTTATTTGGGAACCGCTCTGACCATAACACAAACAAAGTCCCTTGGATTATTTGTCAACGCGAAGCATTAGACAAACAATCAATTTCAAAACAACCATCATCTGGCTGGGTATATTTTGGAAGACCATTTCTAAGATAGAAATCTCCCTTTTGAAACACAGTGTGAATACGAACTTTTTAATCCCTTG